GTACCTACTAGAGTTTCAGTGTCATGTTATGGATTATCTAGTTTATGTCTAGATCTATCAGCATACATTTATTTGATGCTAGTTGACCAAAATGTGAGTGTTAACATGGGATGGGCTTGAAAAGGGATGGCAACAGCTATTGTGTCATGTTTTTAAGGCTCAGTAGATGTGTGCAGAAGCAATCGTGTTCCCTAGCAGCCCATCCTACTGCAGCCCTTAAGTCTGTCCATCAGCTAAGCCAGAAAAGTATTAGAGACTTTGATCTCCTCTAAGTCTGCTCCGGGCATGACAGAAGAGCACCCTTCCTCCTCAATACCCTGAAGCAACGGCAACTTAATCTGTAACTTTTCTTCCAGATGACAAATGTTGACTGAATATAGCAGTGGGATCTGGCAATGGAATAATTTGTAAGTAATTGGGAGCATCAGAACATGTTTAATAATGTGCAGTTTTGCAGATTATGTATAATGTGAAAACCTGACAAACTTCAAGTTGCCATGACAGCTTTGTCACAAAAACTGTGTACACTTTTATATGGAAATGGTGACAGAAGTGATGCATGAGTTTTAAGTAACCAGTAGATGAGATGCTATTAGGGGCAGGAAGGGAATTTGGCACCTCAGAAGGGAAAATATTACAAAATGGAGGGAAAGATAGATTTGGGATGCTGGGGAGGCTGGAGGGACTGGTGGGAGGAGAAGCAGCAAGCAAGGGCCCAGGAGCAGAGATTATTGATGGATATTAATAGTTCTCAGTGAGAAGACATAGAAAAGACTTAAATTCTGTTCAGAATGCAAGTGGCAAGACATCCAGTTAAGAAGCATAAAAATATCTGTTAAGACCATTGTGTGTCAGGACAATACATGAAAAACAAGTTCCTGCACATTATACAGCACCTTACTTAGTACCAAGGTTACAAGCAGGATGTAGGGAAGCCCAGCATGGGGATGGGAAGGCAGGAAAGTATTTGGATTCATAAACCACAAGATGCTGGAACAAGGCAAGATAATAAATGTGAACTGATGGAGGAAAAAGGAGTTCTCAGGGGTCTGCTCTGCTCTGGAAGAGGGTGAACTCAAGAGGATAGGACTCCTTACCACGCCTGTGGCAGTGCCACATAGTCTGCACATTTGCAGACACTGCCGAGGTGTTTCCAGGCTGTGTTGTACAGGTCTGGAATTGGGCAGGAATGCACGGTGCAGTTTGGGAAGCCCTGGGTACCTTGTGTTCACAGAGAGGTGGCATGTGGAGATGCTGCTTTGAGGTGCTGGAGAGTTTTCTGGCCAGTGATTTACCTTGGGCAAAGAGCCCGTGGACTACGCGCTGAAGCCAAGGCTGCTGGTAGAGGCACGGTGGTGCTTGGGCTGCAAAGGTTGGAGAGGGCAAGAACAAGGTAACCTGTGGTGTAGAGCATGTCCAGTGTGTGTCACAAACCTGCTGACATGACTGACAGGGGTTTTATTTAGCAATCAAACAAGTAACACAAGCAAGAGACACCAAGCCCTTTGTCACAAGTCCCACAACCTTCAGCTGTTGACCTTTTGTTATTGCTACTCAGTAAGCTGCGAGTCGGCAGAATTGAGTCCTCCTTCATCTCTGGTCAGATGTGATGAGTTAATGAGCAGATAGCTAACAGAGTTGATAGCCTATGGAGTCTATGTCTCCACTGAGACATAGATTTGCTAGGAAATTCTGCTTGGTTAGAGTTACCCCATGCACAATCAGAGTATCTACTGTGCACAGCAATTTAGTGAGCTTTTTGTAATAAAATGACATTATAATACTGCTGGTGATTCTCATGAAAAAAGCTGAAGGCTTACAAAGAAAGTTGAAGAAATGTATGGAAAGCACAGATCATGAATCCCTGGAAAGGATCTGGAAGTTCCAAAATATTGAGAATTATTATGAGAGCTTGTTGAACAGTTATGAAGCAGTATGAATGAATGCTAGCAAAGTTTCAGAAGACTGATGTATAGAGAGAAAGTGGACCACAGAGGTGAGGATGCAGAAAAGTTAGAAAACCCAGGGGGAAAAGAAACACTTGGAATGTTAGCTGAAACTGATGTGAACCTGCAAGGATTTTTAATTAACAAAAAAGAGTGAAAAAAATAGGGAAATGAAGGATTTCAAAGAAGCAGGTGTTGTTAACGTAACAAAGGGCTGGGACTTCAATGAGGTATTGATCCCAGAGGGAATCCCTGGGATTGATCCCAGAGGACTGTGCTCTTGCTGTCAGCTGGTACTTGTGGGTTACTTTACATAATCAATTAAAATGTTACCCATAACTCATTTAGGTGATGAACTTTCTCCCCAAAACTGTCCCTTCCTGCTCTTGAAATAGCAACCTACAGTCTTTCCAAAGCATAGTTTACTCTCTAAGGTCAAGTTCATCCCAGTTTATCCCCCAGTTGCAGCTGGCTGTTTCACCTCCAAATAAGCCTGGTGTACTGGTATCTGCTTATCATCCCCCATCACCCTCCTGTCCTGCAACTGCAACATTTACACCTACCTATGCAAAACCTTAGTGCACCAGGACAGTGCTACAGAAAACAGAGCTGGGAGAGTGTTTGGAGAGATGTTTCCTAAGAGAGGCTTTATCAGCACTGAGTCTCATCCATGCTGTCTGTCTCGCAAGTTGTTAACCATGTTCCAGGGAGAGAGCATGCCTTGAGATAACCTCTTTGCTCCCCTGGGACAAGCAGAAACTGCTTGGTGATTCCTCCGTGGTTCATCCATTAATGGAAAAAATGTGACTTGGTCAGTAAAAAACCTGATCAATGCTCAGTAAGGTCTTTTTGTACACTAGCAGTTACCGATAAATGAATCAAGGCAAATGTAACCGTTCAAGGTACATTTTTCACCCTGGCAGCCTGGACTTAGCTGTTCTTCCTGGTTTTGTGGTTCTGAGAAAGAAATGAAGAGCAGCCTGAAATTTATGTTTAGTGTTATTTGTGTGAAGACTCTCTCTGGAGTCTTGTAGTGGCTTAACAGATGGAGCCAGGGCAGAGATTCATATTGTGATGCTTATTTATTAATGCAGCTTTTCCTGAGACAGAGGAAAAAATATGTTTTTGTAGGAAACCTTTTCCCCTTCCCCAGAATGGAAAAAGAATGACATCTGGACATCTCCTATTCAGCTGCGCTTGGGATGCATATTTTCCCCAGACATGCATTTCTGAATCTCATGATGATCTGGCTGCTTAGAAGTAGCTCTGGTAGCCAGTTTCTTTTTCCCACAGAAAGCAGTTTGAATTAAACAGCAGTTTTGTTGTATGTCAGTGCCCTGTTTCTTTCTTGATCTCAAGAAACTTCATCTCTTATTTATCTACGCCCAAAATATAGAAAACCACAGAAGAGTAAAAATTTACCAGGGGCAGTTCTTGCTCAGTGGGTGCAATAATAAGCTGTTGTTGACTCTGTTGTCTGTAAGACAGGGTTTTGAAGTATTCCAAAGACAATTTAGATAGGCAAGGGATACAAATTATGATGTTTATTTCTTAATGCCTGTTTTACTGAGAGGCAGAAAAAAAAGAGCATTGCTGGAGGATCCGATGTGAACTCTCCCTTCCACTCATCAGTCCCTGTGAAAAAGATGGAAATGTCCTCTTTGGCTCTTTTCCCCCGGCAAACATCACTCCTCCTGACTGGTGTTCTGCATCAATGAGGTTTAAAATAAGCCACAGGGGCAAAGGCCTGGAGTCAGGGGACACTGGGAGAGTAGAGAATAGGTAATGAAGGACTCAACAGAGAGGCTGTGTCTATGGGAAAGATCAGATGAAAGGCAAACCTGGAACATTTTGATATTTTGCTCCCTTTGGGGCCTAATTTACCAGCTTAGTACCCCTGTAGAAAGAAAATGATTAATCAGGAGCATGGTATCCAGCAGTTCCCATGGAGCACAAATCCTGGACTAATGACAGTGCCAGTGGCTTGACTTTGCAATGATAAGCAAGGACCACTTTACCAGCCCTCATGAATTCTGGCCTGTGGAATGGTATCATTTTGGCATTCAATGCCAAGACAACTGTCAGGTCTCGGGGAACACAGAAATGCCCTTTAGTTGTGATTTTTCCCCACTGCCTTGTACAGTGCATCCTCTGTTGAGACTACGGGCCAGCATGTCCCCAGATCTGCTTTCAAGCCTGCAGGAATACAGATCCTGATGCATAAAACCCAGTTGCAAACCAATTTCATGCTTGGCAGATGACACTTGTTGAGTTGGCATGTAGCAAAACAAAGGTGCTGCAGTGTGGGAGCCCAGCTGGCTCATTCTCTGTGCAACTTATAGTTGAGATTAACGTAAATCTTTTTGTTAGTACTAAAAACTCTGGAGACCAGTTCTGCTCAGTTAGTTGTTTCAGCTGGACATTTTGTGTACACGCAGAGCAGACTGTACCTTGGATTGGTGCTGACTTCAGACACTACTTATATGAGTCTCTTGCCACAGTTTGATTATTCTCTTCCACCTTTTCCTGGGAGAAGGGAATCAGAGGAACTGCACAATGCAAGAAAACTAGCAGCTTCCTCTTTCCTGTCATATGCAAGGTTTCACAGGTGCATTTTTTTCTTCTCTCAATGTGCTCAGTAGCTGAGTCTCAGAAGTGGTGAGAAAACATTTTTGAAAAGCCAGTTGTATGCAAAGAAGTGCTTAGGTATTTCTTTGCCTTCGGCTAGAGAATGCTCTATTTCCAAGTGTGGTCAACAGCTCTGAAGTCAGCAATGGTCTAGGAAATTTGGAAGGCTAATACAGAGCTGATGAGTGAATCATCCCTGTGCTAGCCCCAGCCACTGAGTTACCCTCCATCCTCAGATTTTCCCTTCCTTCAGCCCCTGTAGCCAGGGTGACACGAAGTCGTGTGTTTCTCACTGTGTGTAGAGAGGCGGTTATGGCCCGTTCTGCCAGACCAAGACTGAGCTGTGATGATCATTGCTTCTTCAACACCCAGGCTGAATTACTACCTTTATATATATATATTTTTTTTTTTTTTTTTTTTTCCCAGGAATTTCTGCATTAAGTTCAGGGAGGACGACTGATGAACTAGGGTATCCTTCCTGCTCTCACTCCTCTCCTGCCTTGTCCTCTGGTGTCTCCATTTCTCCTACTGCTCCGACTACCCATGTCTCTTCCACTGCCTCTCTCATCCCCTTTTCTCTCTGTGGTTTATTGCCACTTGCTGATGCAGCCAGGCTAGAGAGAAGCAGCATGTTTGGAAGAAGAGAAGGTGCCTTTGCTTTCCCAGGCTTGTCATGCCTGCAGGTCAGCACATACTCTTGGGAAGGAAGGATAAGAGGAAGGATAATATTACTGAGACATCCCAGTAAAGAAGAAAATCAGTCTTTCATGGACAGGTGTCAACATGGGAAATGACTCTGTAATTAGAGAAAACACAGTCTTTCAACTTGCTTTGCATATATAGTCTATGGAAACTATGCAAATAAAGCCTAATGCAGAATCAAACAATTGCATTTTCATGTTAGTGTTTATTTGTTTTCCAGGGTTTGTTTTTTTGTATTGCTGAATGGGATTTGTTGTGCATTCATGTTAAATGACTGAAATGAGCATGTCTCCTCAATCCCATCAAGTACAGTTTCTTGGCTCTGAAGGTACCCTGTACCCTCCAGAGATACCCACACTCATGTGGCTTGCTTCTGGCATATGGATTACCTTGGGTGCTCCTCCAAAGCAGCAAGATGGGGCTTAGAAGTGGCAGGAACATCAGAGACAGTTTTGCAGTGTCTCAAAAATGAATTTATCAGAAGATGGTAAAATCACTCGAATCAAATCTCTGTCTGTCCTAATCTTGCACACACATGTAGGCCTGTCCCCCTGTGTCCCACTGATTCAGAACACTAGCCAGAATACCAGGGAATCACATACATGGTCCATAGCCCTCCGTGCACCTCTGGAGGTGCCACCAGGGTAGGGCTGATCTCAGTTGCCTTCCCTCTGTGTTCCTCTGTGAGACAGCCGAACCCCGACTTCAGCTCTCAGCTGAGTAATGTGTTATTTGGACAATTTTATATTGGCACACGAAGCTTTAACTATTCAGTGTGCAGCTGGAGATTTGCTTCTGTCTGTCTCGGCCTGTGCCCTTTCCTGGTATAAATTAAGGTGATCCCGGACCCGTTAGGGTGGTGAGGTATGTATTTTTTCAGGTTTTAAATGAAATACGCTTGATCCTATCGGCAGGATAGTGCTTACTCTCAGTTATGCAGGGCTCTACAGGCAAAAAGTGTAACTCTTTGCATAATGCAAATCATAAATGATTTAGGACAAATGAACAGATCTTTTGTGTTAATCTTTGAAGAACATGTAAGGAGATCTTTGCTGACACCAAGGGAATGTTGAGAGAGCAGTGGGCTTGCAGAAGCCTGACCTTGCTCTGCATCTGCTCTCTTCGGGAGACTGTGCCACAGCCTCAGGCAGTTGGGGAGAGCTGGTTGATGCACCAGTCAGAAAAAACACCTGATGGTCCAGAACAGACCATGAGGACAAAGGCCATGGCTAAGGGATGTGGTGAGAAAAAGCCAATAGTGTATCAATTGTTCCTCCTCCTCCCATGCTCTGCAGCACCTCATTGTAATTGCTTATCCTATGGGAAAATGTTATACTATGGGTGTGCAGCACCCTGAAACCCAAGGGTATTGATGACAAACAGCATCCACGAAGCAATAAGTGGCTTTGCAAAGAGGAACAATACCTGTCTTGTGCCTACACTCAGCAACGCAGATTTTGTCTGAAAGCCTGGCATTCTTCCATGCTCAGCAGCCTGTAATTCTTTTAGAATAATTTTCTACTCCTTTCTGGAATATGAATATAAATGGCATTTCTTGCTTCGGGGCATTTGGATGGGCTCCATATAGATTCAACACATAAATTCATTGTAAATAATATGTCTGCCAAAGCTCATGCATGGATGTTGCTCTTGATTGCACCTGGCTTCCCCCCGTCTCATGTTAGGAGAGTTGCCAGAGGAGTAGTGTGTGCCCCACAGCAAGCTGAGGGCCACGCTGCAGCACAGCCTGGCAATTCATGTGGTAGCACTCTCACAAACTTCCAGTGACCTCTAACAACCACCAAAAAAGAAACTCAGAACGTTTCCTAATTTTTTTTATCATATTTTTGGAAATAACTAATGCGTTTATTAGCTTTTAACAAGTATCAGTTTTGCTTTCTATCAACACAAGCCTAAGGATGAAACCAGCCAAGAGCAGTAGATGTCTTTTAAGGGTCTCCTTAATTATTTCTGTCAAATTTAAAAACAAGCAAACAGACAAACAAGAAACAAACAAGTGTTGAGGCCTAAAAACAGGAAAGCTGTGAGAAATAGAACTTACCTTATGGCATATTCTGTGAGTATTCTTGACAGAGGGGAAAAAAAAAAAAAAAAAAGACAAAATAAAATACTAACTCATCTAGTCAATACAAACTGCTTAAACTATGGTACTTTTCTCTTTCAGCCGCTTTGGAAGACAATTATTTTCCTCACTTTCACAGTTGATTTCTTTACCTATGGTATAGTTTGGATGTTTTTATGTAACGACAAAGTAAAAATATCCCAATACACTAAATTGTTGTAGAGCATGATTATACATGTAAGACAGCATGTAACTGAACAGTCTCTAAACCTCCCTTGTCTTCATCTAAGACTTTATGCTGAGTTGAAGATGTCATTATTGGCTGGATAATTGCCCAGAGTCAAATATAAGTTTTCCTGTGAGCAGCAGAGCTAATGAAGCCTGCTTTGCCATGTTGGTTGTGCATTTTGTCCCTTAGTTCCCTTTTCTGCATGGAAAGCCTGTTGTAAAATGCCTCCCAATTGGAGAGACCAAGTGTGCTGTGATCTGCAGTGTCTCTCTAGCTCCTTGTTTTTCCCCAAAACATGTAGGACTCCCGATAAGTCTGAAACAATTTCCCCTCCTTTTCAAATGGGATTGAAATGGGTCAATGGCCTCCAAAAGTATTAGCGTTACCAGGAACCACTAAGGAGCAGCTTATCCCCAGGTGAACATGTTCCTCATCAAATTAGTGCTACTGTTGGTGAAAAGTGTTAGCCTGGCTCCATCTGAGGTGAAATATGTTCAGGCAGGGAGCTGGATATGCCCTGATGTGCGCACCGATGAGCAGTGAGAGAAGAAACTTCCCCAGCACTTCTTGTTACGGTGGGAATCTAGGAAGACATGTGGGCCTCCCGAAGGAAGTTGCCATCTGGAGAAGAATAGCAGCTAAGTGGGATGAATATTTGTGCTTGTGTGAGAAGAACATGTAAAGAGCTGGATTGGGAACGTTGCTGGCAGAGCGCGATGGGTTGCTCTTATCGTTACCGGAGCAGGCATCCAACCCAAAGGCAGTGAGTGGCCTTCTGCCCAAGGGGGCTGAGCTGGAGGAGCACCGCAGAATTGTGGTGCCTCACCATCGCTACCAGCACGGCGCTGCGTGTGCCGCTTCGTGCTTAGATGGAGCAAAGCTTGGAACCCAGTTACAGCAGCCACTGGAGGGGCAGGAGCTCCTGGGATGGAAAAGCCCCCGTGTCATGGTCCCTGGAGTTGTTCCTACATTGCTGTCACTCTCCTGCTGTGTTGAAAATAACAAAGCTGGTTATTTATGCCTAAAATAACTATGTGGGTTTTCATTCATCACAGCAAGGATGACATACTTATTAGCTCAGATTCACTTTTTTTTTTTTAATACAGAATTAAAACTATGTGCAAGGTTAAAGCTGCTTTCATAAGTTTTAGCAGATGTGAATTTCAGAATTAAGAAGATCAGAGTTTTAAATTAATCTAAAAACATGAGCAATATGTTAATTTGGAAAAAAATACCAACTGGCTGGAAATAACAAAAATAAGAGGGAAAATAAACCTATTGGTTAATTTAGAGTTTACTTTTTTTTTTTTTTTAAGCCAGAGAGAATTAACATGTTTTGAATTTATTTTTCTGAGTAATACTGTCAGAAAGACATGCCAGAAGCACTTAGTGTGGGAAAGCATAAGCAGCTGTCCTCTCATTTCTTCTTTTTTGGGAATATTAAAGGGTTACTTGGAGACATGGTGCAGCTGTCAACGCCACGGCCAGCAACAGGGATGCTGGGTCCTTTCTGTGGCCTCAGGCATGAGTAGTGCCTGCAGATTGTGGAGTAATGCCTGCAGATTTTGGAGCAGGAGAAAGTGGCTCTGGGGGTATATTGGTAGTGTAATGTTTTACTTTTAGTGCAAACTTCAGTGAGAAAATGAAGGATGCAAAAGACAGGTAGACAGAGAGGCTGTCATAGGGTTTCACCAATCAGTGAGGAAATAAATGCATCTGGCTTATTTAATACGAAAAAGCACAAAACTACAGGACAAGAGAAGGGCATTATGATGAGGGGCAGGACATGGGGGTGACACGGGGGTGTTCTCATGGGAACGGGGAAATCCTTATCTCACATGGGGTTAGTGTAGTGATGCTCAGCTTCTTCAGGCTGGGTTTTAGAACCTAGCTGTGAAGTAGCAGGTGGCTGAGGTTTAACATAGCAGCCTGGCAGAGTCCTGGATTCTCTAGCAGCCTGGCACCTGGCTGCAGCAAAGGAGAAGGGAATCTGGCCACATCAGCTATCTGCCACTGATATCAAATGAGCTCATTTAAAGCCAGAGGGGTAATTCAGCTTAAGGGGTTGAGACAGAAGATTGTGGCCTTCATATGACTTGACTGAAGCAGAAAACAATTTTTAAAAATGACAGCACTCTTTATAAGCAAGAGTGCTTATAAGTCCCCAGGGACTTTGAGGATCAGTCTCTGCAACCCTCTTTATTAGAGGCCACCTGAAGTTTGAGGTGCATCGACCCAGTGGTAAATACAAGGCAGGCAGAGATATGAGGCCGGTAGAAATGATCAATTTACAGGATTCAGAAATCCATAAATTTCTCTTAAAGCTAGAATAAAAGGAAATAATTAATTCTCCAGTCACTACACGGGTTTTCCTGTCTGGAAATAAATCCCAGGTCTTCCCAGCAGCCAGGAGCTGGCCATGTAGCTGTGCCACTGCCAGGGCTGGGGAGGCTGCGGAGGCAGAGGGGAGAGCGCGACACCGAGCTTTGCGAGTGCTGGGAGGGGTGGGCGATGTCAAATGGTCAGAAACGGAGAAACACCGGGCTAGGGCTGGCTTCTGCCAGGCATCAAAGCCCTGTGGTGGGACAGATCTTTGCTAAACCTCTCCCTTGGTGAACTCTGAGTCACATATATAACAGGTAAACCGTGAGATTACATATCATGTAAGCGTGCCAGCTAAATCCTTAGTGCCACCCTGCAACACAGCACTCTGAAGACAGCAATGAAGAAAGGAGCAATACATGCAGTAATCGGTATCCTGAAGATCTAAGCTCGTGTGAAAGATCTGCAGAAGTCAATACAGTATTTTTGGTGTATTGTGTTGGTTACAAATAGAAATTTTTGCGTTGTAGAAATTACTTTCCACTATTACC